GGATTGGCTCTATTTTGAGAAACTATGAATTTCAAGCTTGGTGTGCTCCAGGGGGGAACAGGTTGCTGGGAACAGACAGGAGGCAAGAAAGACCTGTGTGCAGGAAAAAAAAAAAAAGGCAGAGAGAGGTGTGGACACACAGGAAATTCTGTGAGTGAGACAGCAGTGGGATACTGCTGCACGAGATGTCAGAGCTGCTGTTGTCTGTGTAAGATGTTTGCAAAGCCAGGCTGCTTGTGCAGAAAGGAAAGGAAAGGCCTCAGGCCCCAGGAGACCTAAAGGGAGTCCCAAGTGAGAGACTTTGGAGAGGGAGAGAGAATATAACAGAAATATTTGAAGAAAGGTGCTGGTCAGATTTGAAGAGTTCCTACACTTAGGGTAATGGGATTCCAGAGAAGAAAAATTACTACCCTTTGAGTCAAATCAGAGTAAGACCCAAGCTCATCTGTGCACTGTTTCAGACTGGTTGGAAGTCTCTGGCACCAGCTACTTCTTAGCCCACCTAAGTGTATGCTTAATTTTGCACCAAAATTTTTTTAAGTCACTTTTAAATTCCATCTGCCATAAACTTTTTGAAGCACTCTCATATACAATCTTATACAAAGGGTGACATACTCTCTACACTGAGATCTTCCACCTCTGGCACACTCCCCAAATGCTTGCATCAACCAGATCTCCAAAACCAGGAACCTGGAATTCAATATTGGTCTTGCATCTGGATAGTGAGCACCCGACTACTGGAGCCACCATCTGCTGTTGGTTCCCAGGGCGCATATTAGCAGGAAGCTAGATTAGAAGCAAAGTAAGTAGGACTCTGATATGGGATGCAGGCTCCCCACACAGCTATGCCAAATATATGCCCCAACTTCCTCACTGTCAGCTGTACTAGAGCTTAAAAAGGCAAGAACCTCTGAGGATATAAGGACTGTTTCTAGTCTGTACTATCCCAAATCTTGCCACATTGCTTCTGGCATGCACATACTACCATGGAGGAAATTCTCAAGAAATGAAATTACTAGGTCAAAGAACAGATGCTTTAGAAATTCTGATAGCTGCTGCCAAGTTGAACAGTTGACACTCCTGCTGGCAAAGCAGACAAGTACCTGTGGGGCTTTGCTGTCTCAGGACAAAAGGGTTGTGGTGGTGGTGAGGAAGCTTGGGGAATCCAGCAAGGGAGTGGTAGAAAGGGATTCTGAGCCAGACCTTCTAGGTTTCCTTGTCCTTGAAGCTATCCCCTCCTGGCTTGTGGCAGTGTGGTAATGGCTGTTGTCCTCCAGGCCTGTGCCCTCAGCTTCTCCCAGGCTTGCTGAGCTCCAGTGCCAGCTATTACTTCCCGGGCTGCCCAGGCTCTGCCAGTACTGGGCTCCCAGGCCCCTAGCCCACTGCTCTGGCGTTCAGGGGTTTTGCCCTGTGAACCAGGTGCTACCTTCTGTGAGAGACTGCAGCACAGACCATGCCAGGGTTCCAACCAGTGGACAGCATGTGGAGAAGTCCTGAGGACAGGCTAGGGAGGGACATGGAAAAATGGAAATGATTAGCAGTACAAAGAGTAGGGATTTTTGTTTGTTTGTTTGTTTGTTTTTAATGTGTAGAATTTTTACATTATTAACAATAAAATTGCAACAAATAAAACTGCTCTTTGTGACCTAAAACACTACTCTTCTATGGCCTCAGCATGCAATTGTCCTCTGTGATGACTGGGTAGGACCAGCCCTGCCCTCTGTGTGCCTGTAGACAGATGCTCCAGGACCTGTCCTGCTGCTGTGTAATGGGCAGGACATCATAAGTATGGCCCAAGACCACTATGGAGGCTTGGTCCCTAGTGAGGATTCATAGCATGTTTGTGAAAGGAAGAAGGAGGGGTTGCCCAAGTGGCCCGAAAACTCAGCCCTCTGAACCCTCCTTGGTGCCTCCACCCATGACGTGGTCACTGTACAGATCTGTTGCTTCTTGAGCATCTTCATTTCTCACTCATTCACTCATTCAGTACTTCTTGACTGAGTCCTGACCTAGAGCTAGAAACAGTTTGGAGAACATAGAATAGGCCCCAGCCCTGCTCTCTGTGACCTTTGCATTGTGCAGGGAGGGGCAGGCGAGAATAACCCTACAAGAGGTGGTTAGGTATTGACACGTGTTTATGATAGAACTTGGGTAGGCTGTAAGATGATGATGATTCTGGGAGGGAAAGGGAAGATGGAAATGAAAGGAAGCGACAACTGAGTGAGAGTCTGAAGGCCAATGGAGGTGAGCCATGCAGGTTTATTGGCGAATGGGGTCCAGTAGGGGAGCAGCCAAAGTCAAGGCCCTGGGTGCAGCCTGATTGTTGCAGTGCTTATGCATCTGTGGATATCATTTGCTCATGTGCACTGGATGGCCTTTTGTATCTACATGGCCTTTTGAAGTCAGCATCACCGGTAGAGATTTTAAAAATCCAAAGAAATTAGAATTAATCATATGCCTCAGCAGGTCACTCACACACCAGACTAAACCCTGAACAGTGTTCCATCATTATTTGGTGTTTAAATATTTGCTATGTAGCATGTTTGAAGCTTGAAGGTCCTGTCTCTTTTCTGAAGAGCCTTGAGCCCATCACTATGTGAGATGGCTCATTGCCCCTCTGTGTTATTTTACTAACCTCCAAGGAAATACGCCATGGGTGTGTGCAGGTTTCAGAACCACTTAAACCATAGCACCGCCACCCTACAATGTGCCTCAGATGTGCAGGAGACATGACTGCGCTCATCACCTTTTAAGACGATTTTTATATATTTGAAAGGAAGAAAGACCGAGAGTTCCTATCCACTGATTCACTCTCCAAATGCCTGCTGCAACAGCTGGTGCTGGGCCAGGCTGAAGCTGGGAGCCAGGAGCTCAATCCAGGTCTCCTACATGGGTGGCAGAGGCCCAGCCACTTGAGCCATCACTGCTGCCTCCCGGATTGTTCATGAGCAGCAATCAAGAACAGAACCTGGGGCTCACACCCAGGCACTCCTGTGTAAGGATGCAGGCACTCTAAGTGGCACTTGAGCTGCTAAGCCAAATGCTCTCCGATTTGTCCCTTTCCCATGAGCCTCCTCTAAACCCTGAGGCCCCTTAACTGGAAGAACAGAATTTGTAACTTTTTATGTTTTCTTGGTAGGGAAGCACTTCTAAGGAATTCATGTTTGAAAACCCAGGGAGAAAGTAAAACAGCTGTACCTGAAGTGCAGGTAATGAAAATGTGTCCCCTGATGAGAAATGATCGGCAGAACGTAGTCCATTAGCCAGCTCCCTTTGTGCGTCTCTTCGCCTTCCCACTCAGCTGTAGGCTCCCAGATGCATGCAGGAGATTACACCCTCTAAAGCCATCCCTGAGACAAGACTGGTATTTTCTGCCCAGCTGAGGAACATGCTAGGTGGCATATCCAACTGCATAGCTCTAGACAAACCATGAGAAAGGAAAACAATAGTGACTTCTTAAATGCTGTATAGTGGAAATATGTTGGTTGCTGTTGGCACTTGGGCATTTTTGCAAGGTCTAAGCAGGTGAAGTGGTGAGGTCTCTTGTCTGCAGAGGGTCCAGGGGTGGGGGCTGCAGTGCAGCCTGGGAAAGGAGATAGACAGGGGAAGGGAAAGGCAGAAGGAAGTGGGAGACCAGCCAGGAATTAGGGGCAGAAGGAGTTTCCTGTTGTGTGAGAACAGTGCCAGGTGGTTGTGCAGCGGTGGGGAGGGGTGCTGTGTGTGCGCCTGACACCAACATCATGGAGGGTTCATTTGGCAGGGAATAGAGGCATGTCTCTTTGCATAGACAATGAGGACACGTCTGGTGACCACTGCAGGCCCCACCTCTGTGCAGCCGGGCACTGCAGAGCACCAGCTGTCATCTTCCCACTGACGTGGGGACCAAGGGTGGGACAAAGTGAATCCATGTTTATGAGTGTGATGCACAGTAAACCTTTAGCCCACATTTGGAGTTGAAATACTATATAGACCCCAAGTGAAAATCCACAAACAATCCTTTCTTCTCTCTCTCCTAAGCTGAAGCTGGGTATATATGAGACCTGACATAGAATGAAAACTGAGATTTTTTTTCCCTTTCGCTCAATTGTTTGCTCTTTTGTGACACTGCAGGTTTCTGGAAGCTTCCTGATGCTCCCCAGAATAGCCTTTCCCCCATCCTGCCTCCCTTCAGCCCTTGAACGTTTATCTTAACCAAATTAGTGCGCTTGCTAGGCTGAGCAAGAATTCTCTTGTTAGGGATAGAGGCCATATTGCCTGAACTCTGGGCTAAAGGCTTGGCTAGGGAGCCCAGCTAGTTCAACTGCCACAACACAAACCAGGTGGTCAGTGCTACCTGCATTCCAGACATAGGGCCAGAAGGACACATCCCTCAAATGACCCCCAAGCTCCTAGGTAAAAAATGTCACTATGACCTGTATTCCACGTGTTTGGAACTTGGGATGGCTTTCTTGTTTGTGTGTTTAACCTCTATTTATTTTTACTCATGAGGCAACAGTCACGGGGAACAAAATTGTAAAAGTTGGAGAACCACACACACTCCCTTCCAGTTGCCGCTCCCCACCTGCTCCCATCCTCGTAGGCAGCTGGGGTCCTCGGGTCTGGGTTCTCCACATGTGCGCTGCACATACATAAGCAGATACACATATGCAAGCATGCACACACTCCCTGCATTAGCCAACAGAATGGTGTGCACACTGGTCAGCACCTCGCTTGCTGTTCGTCCCTGAACAGGTTCATATTAGTTCCTGGGACGTCCTTCATCATGTATTCCATACACACATGGAACAGCCCACACTATAACAAAGTCTTTCCTTGGTCCTTGGCAGTGGATTTCCACTCGTGATGACGGGGGCTCGGCAGGTGCACAAGCATCACACCAACTGGTAATTTTAAGCCATGTCTTGAACGAGGTCCCTTGAGGTCAGAAAGTGGGGGCGGGGATTGTCTTTGAGAATTGATAGGTCTTCTGAGGCGGTGGCGTGTTTTCTTTCTTGTTCCAGAAACAAGATAGAATGAGTCGGAGCATTCCTGTGGAGGTTGACGAATCGGAACCATACCCCAGCGAGCTGCTGAAAGCGATCCCAGAAAATGCTCTAGAAGCAGAATCAGAGTTCCCTGCTGCAGGCACAAGGAACGTGGCGCCCCAGGGCTTGTGGGCTCCTCCGGCTCCTCACCGGCCCCAGGGAGACTCTGCTGAGGTGCCTCTGGTACTTGTCAGCCCGCAGCGGCCTGTGTCCCAGGAGGTCGCCTGTCTGCGTGCTCGAATCCTGGAGGAGAGCGAAGACAGCTTCTTCAGGAGGCACCAAGACGCCGACAAAGATTTCCCCACAGGCTCCTCTGCAGCCAGCACGTGGGAGGCCGGGACTGGAGCCGGCGCCCTCCACCCGGAGAGTCAGTTTTCGTTTCTGGAAAAACACATTGTACAACCAGGATCTCAGCTTTCAGCAGCTTCTTCTGACGCTAGCCATGACTCTGACAAAGCCGACCGGAGTTTACCCACTGCCTCAGCAGACTCCCCAGACAGCAACCAAGAGACGTGGCGGGGCGCCCAGCCCCACAGGAACCGACTGGCCCCAGGCCCTCCCACCATAGACACGGGGTATGATTCCCAGCCCCAGGATGTCCTGGGCATCCGAAAGCTGGAAAGGCCTCTGCCCTTGACCTCTGTGTGTTACCCCCAGGATCTCCCTGCATCACTGAGGTCCCATGAGTTCCCACAGAGATACCCAGCCCGCGCCCAGGTGCAGCCTCCCAACCCTTGTGCACACACTCCGTGGGACCACGCCCACTGGTATCCCAGAGGTCCCAACCACCAGGTGCCATGTAAGTGATCTTCTAGACACTCTGGATGGGGTGACTGGGGAAGCAAGGGCCTCACATCCAACCATATCTCATGTCACCAGACCAGTACACGTGGTGAGAGCTTTGGCTCTCGGGGACTTCCGTGTGTCTGCACTTGCAAGAAGGACCCATGAGGAGGCTTGCTCTGAGCTCGCCCCACACCCCTGGGAACCTGCTGCCCTTGGATGCTTTAGGGATGGCTTCGCAGAAATCTGCCCAGACACAGGGAGGTGACTTCAGTGATTTCTAGAAAGCACATTAATTGTTTGAGTTTTGGAGCATCTGAGTGCTTCCCTTTCTTCAAGTGTCTTTCCTATTTTAGACTTGGCAAAGAAAGGGGCCTTTGGTCAATCATAACAACAAAAATCAGCATGCATCCAGCCTGACGTTAAGTCTCCGGATTCAGGCTGTGAGCGCCAGGTTGGTCCCGTATTTCTGTTGCTTAAGTCCTTCTGGGCTATCTATGTACCACATTTGCACTGTCCCAAGGACTGGCAGGCCTCCTGACTCATCACATACACCTGCCCCTGCTCTTCAGTCACTAGAATGTTCCTTCCTCTAGTGTGTTTGACCCACGACTATACATTTTCTAACAAACTTTTTTACTTATTTTTTAAAAGATATTTATTGATTTATTGGAAAGGCAGAGCAATGCCAGTGGCCAGGGTGCGGGGTGGCTTGGGGGAGGGTGAGAGAAAGACGTCTTTATCCTCTGGTTCCCAAATGGCTGCAACAGCTGAAACTGAGGCAGACCTGGAGCCAGGATTTCGACCGAGTCTCCCACGTGGGTGAGTCAGCTTTGAGTCGCCTTCTGATGCCTTTGCAGGTGCATTAGCCGAAAGCTGCATAGGAAGCAGAGCAGCCGTGTGAGATGCTGGTGATGCAAGTGGGTATAACTTGCTATGCTATAATAACCAGCCTCTGCATGTTTATTTACTGATCTATTTGTGAAGCAGAGAGAGAGTGAGAGAGAGAGTGAGTGAGAGAGAGAGTGAGTGAGATGGAGAGAGAGCTCCTGTCAACTTGTTCACTCCCTCAGTGCCCACAGTGGCTAAAATTTGGCATGGGCCAACACTGGTAGTTAGAAACTCAATTCAGATCTCCCATGTAGATGGCAGGATCTCAGTTTCTTCAACCATCATCATTTCTTTCCAGGGTCTGCATTAACAGGAATTGGGAATCAGGTTCGGCGCGATAGCGTAGTGGTTAAAGTTCTCGCCTTGAACGTGCCAGGATCCCATATGGACGCCGGTTCTAATCCTGGTGGCCCTGCTTCCCATCCAGCTCCCTGCTTGTGGCCTGGGAAAGCAGTCGAGGATGGCCCAAAGCCTTACTGGGTGGGAGACCCTGCACCCGTGTAGGAGACCTGGAAGAAGCCAGAAAAGCTCCCGGCTTCGGATTGGCTCAGGTCCAGCCGTTGAGGCCTCTTGGGGAGTGAACCATCAGATGGAAGTTCTTCCTCTCTGTATCTCTTCCTCTCTGAACATCTGCCTTTCCAATAAAAATAAATAAATCTTAAAAAAAAAAAAAACCAGGAATTTGGAATCAAGAGGGGAGCCAGTTATTACACCAGGTACTTCTATGTGGGACAAGGAAATCTTAACTGCTACATCCATCAAACACTTGCCCTCATCTTTTTTTTAATAGCTTTTTGAGATCTAATTGGCATGCTGTAAAGTCTACCCTTGACACATTTTAATTATATGAACAGATTTTACAGATACCACCAGCATCGTGTATAGATGCATTTCTAAAGATGTATTTGTTGTTATTGGTAAGTCAGATTTACAGAGAGGAGAGACACAGAGAAAGATCTTCCATCTGCTGATCCACTCGCTAAGTGGCCACAATGGCCGCAGGCTGAGTTGAAGCCAGGAGCCTCCTCCAGGTCTCCCATGCAGGACCTTGGGCTGTCCTCTACTGCTTTCCCAGGCCATAAGCAGGAGGCTGGATGGGAAGTAGAGCAGCCAGGACATGAACTGGTACCCGTATGGAATCCTAGGGCATACAAGGCAAGCACTAAAGCCACTAAGCTAACATGTTTGATTCATCATATATATGTGTAAAGACTTCTCAAGGGTCCCTGTGGAAACCTCCCCAGATAGAAGTCTCCTTCAGGTTCTCTCCCCCTTGTGCTCTGGCTCAGCTGAGACACCTAACACCAGTGTGGCATCTAGTTATGGGCTTGTCTGCCTGTCCGTGCACACCATGAGCTTTTGCATGTCAGCCAAGGTGTACTTTTCCACTGTCACTCCCCAAGACTGAGCACAGTACCTGCCACCTGTCAGACCCAGTAAAACACTTCTGATGGTGTGCTCCGCATCAGCGCAGTTATCTGTGAGAGTAATAAACTCTTAGACTGAGATAAAAGCTCCATCATTGTGCTCGATGTTAAAACTCTGGTGAGGCCCACTGGAAAATAATAAGAGGGTTTTCAGATGAAACACAGGACTGTAAGATGTGACATTTCTCTTAGCAAATAAACATGGGACAGAAAGCAATTGAAATAACGTAGGCAGCTCTGTCCAAAGGCTTGATGCCTGGCTTTAAAACAAATTACAGAAATAATCACAAATGTGTAATCAACCATTGTGCATGTATTGGTGCATGTGCGTTCAGTGTAAAACTTCCTAGAGAGTAGGCAGCAATATAGGAATTCAGCTTGAAAATAGGGGGCAGAGCAGGGAAGCCAGATGATGTAGGCATGGTGGCACAGAGGGTTAAGCCACTGCTTGGGTGCCTTCATGCTAAATTAAAGTGTATGGGATTAATCCATCCTGCAGTTCTGACTCAGCTTCCTACTGATGCCCACCCTGGGAAGCAGCAGAGGATGGCTCAAGTATTCAGCTCTCCATCACCAATGTGGGAGACATGGATGGAGTTCCTGGCTCCTAACTTTGGCCTCAACCAGCCCTAGCTGTTACGAACATTTGGAAAGTGAACCAGTAGAGGGAAATTCTCTCTCTCTTTCTCACTCTGACTTTCAAATAAACAAAAACAAACATTGTTTTTAAAGTGGAGGATGGAAGAATATAGCTTACATGATACTTTGGTTGGGGGACAGCACAGTGGTGTAATAGGTTAAACCGCTCCCTACACAGCACCAACGTCCCATTTGGGAATCAATTTAAGATCCAGCTGTTCCACTTCTAATTTGACTCCCTGCCAATGCACCTGGGAAAGCAGCAGAGGATGGTCCAAGTCCTTGGGCACCTGCCACCTACATGGGAGACCAGTTGAAGCCCCTGGTTCCTTGACTGTGGCCTGGCCCAGCCCTAGCCATGGCAACCTTTTAGGAGAGTGAACTAGTGGGTAGAAGATTTCTCTTTCTCTCTCTCAGATTTCAAAAAAATGAAATAAGTTGTTTAAGAACAGATGATTGGAAGGCATGGGTAAGAATGCATGAGGTCAAGAGTGAGGCCAGAATCTGGGGAGCAGCAGGACTTGGGGAGAATTGGACATAGGGCTGGTAAGGGAAAAAGAGACGCTGGGGTTCCACCTGAGACTGACTTGTGGGGTGATTGGAGGGTGTGGCCACCACTACCTGCCCTGAGCACCCATCACAGGCCGGTTCCCTCAAGTGGGAATCCCTGAGAACCCAAGCTTGGCAGGGCTGGTGCTGGGTTTATTTCTCAGAGATTTCCAGGTCCAAAAAAGAGTCAATTGTGGAAACAATTCCACAAGCTACTTTTTAAACATTGTACCTCACTGAAAGTGAACCTTTCTGATCCTATAGTAATCTTTGGTTCCTTCTCCAACTGAAAGATGTCCAACAGTTCAGAAATGAAAAGGAAATGAATCCATGTATCTGTCACACCCAAAATACAATTCCTAAGGACTTCACACATATACTTCTGGGAGCCCCTCCCACTTACAAATTATGTTGAATGCAAAGTTAATTTCCAAAGATGTTGGATGTATCCTTCTTCCAGTATCATTTTAAAATGCTGCACTGCATGGCATCAGACATGGCCACTGGATTGTTGTTAAGCTGGTCTTTATAGTCAGACAATTACGATAGTCTGCAGTGTGCTGATCTGATAAGAAATACCGTGCATGTACGGGTGTTTTTGTCGGCATTTCTGAGGAACTTTTCAGATTAACGTGTAGAATCATGAATGCTTAGCTAAAGGCTGTGTGGTACTGGGTCCCAAGCAGTCACCTTTCTCTGCTAACAGGGGGAAGCCTCCTGATCATAGAAAAGCCTTGACTCAATATTATGACGAAGGCCCCAGCAAGATCTTCCTACTGGAAAGCATTTTTTTTCTGAAATGACACTGTTAGCAATCTAGTCTTTGCAGGTGAACTTAGCCCCTCAGGCCGGCACCTTGAAAAGACAAATGCTCCCCACCAGGAACTCCTCTCTCTAATAGCACTGAATCTGTTTCCCTTCATCGTGTCACTTTCCCCTTGCCCTCAGTATTATTTCCTTCTATTGAAGTGGGGAGGGAGAGGGCTGTCTAGATCCTGGGAAGGCAAAGTGGTGATGGAAGGCAGAGGGGGAAATAGTTTTTCACAGAAGACAGGGATAATTCACAGGAGATTTACAAACAGCCAATATGCCCTCCAGTCTGGGCTCACAGCACTCTGCTGAGGATATGCAGATTTTTAAAAATTGTTTACTTATTTGGGAAAGAGAAAGAAACAGAGAGACTGGGAAAAAGTCCATCCTCTGATTGCCCAGATGCCTGCATTGATCAAGACTGTGTTAGTGCTGAAGACAGGAACTGGAATTCAATCCAGGTCTCCCACCAGAGTGGCAAGAACCCAGCCACTTGAGCCATCCCTGCTGCCTCCCAGGGTGTGCATTGGCAGGAAGTGGGAGTCAGGAACCAGAGCCAAGTATAGAATCCAGCACTACAATATGAGACAAAGATTTTTTTAAAAATTTATTTGTATTTGAAAGGCAGATTTTACAGAGAGAGAAAGAGAAATTGGGGAGAGAAACAGAGAGATCTTCCATCCACTGGTTCATACCTCAC